CAAGACCAAAAAAAAAAAGAAAAAAGAAAAAAAAAGAACAGACAAACAAACATGAAATCAACCACTTCGTCCAGGATTTAGACTGAAATTTTCTAAGTAATTCTTGAAGGGTAGACTTAATTAAGCAGCCTCAGAGAACTCTGGGCCCCCTATTCTCTAGGTTTGCTTTCAAAGTTTGGGAATAATAAATAATACTGTTCTCTATTATAAGTTACAGCTTTCAATACATCGAAAAAAAATGCTTTATTACTTGCTTTCTTTGTGTTTGCAAAACTATCGAAGTTATTATGCACTATACTAATTCTGTACTGGGTATGAGCAAACTATATTTTTGTACAAAAGTAACAAAAAGCGAAACACTGCAAACAAGAAACGTGGCATACTCAATGTCATCAAAGCTCTCGGCAGACCCAGTGACGAGGAGGGATAACTCTGATGCGTAAACTTTCGCCAGTTGTCTCCCTCTCTCCAGCACCACCACTTTGGCCCAGACACGCGCTGACAAGTCTGTAATTTTCATCATCGTTTTGTCTACCAGGTGCTGTAGGTACAGAAAATCGAAATTGTTTATGGCAAAGGTGAAGAATTAGTTATATGATTATACACGTTTTAGGGCTTCTTTGACATAATTAGGATAATTAATGAAGAGGGCTGCTTTGACCCTGCCTGCCATAGACAACTTTGGCGGAGTGGAAAGGGATTCAGCATTACAGCAGAAGTACTGATGTATTTCAGACAGCCGCTTCCCCAGGAGGGAACAAAACTAGTGTCTCATTCGAGCAAGGTGAAGAGCCCTATCATAATACAGGGAAACTCGGATATAACAAAGTCGTCGAGCATGATCTTCAATATCGTTGAATCTACGAGATTGTTGCAGCAATGAGAGCAACAAGTTGCGTCACAATGTAGGGCTTAGCATTCGGCAACCTCCATTTCCACAAACCAACGTGCAGTTCATTTCGTAGATTTACATCTATGTCTAGATAAGCCTTTCATTGTTCGGAAGGGGAGGGGGGTGGGG